TTTTATAAGGTCTGTGGCAATTTCATCTTTTTTGTTTTGCTCTGATGTATTTTTCTTTTCTATTAGTTTTATAAGTTTTTTTATTAATCTTTTCAGAGACCAACTTTAGTTTTGTTTTTTTTTTTTAGTAATTTTTTTCTGCTTGGTTTTGTTTTCTATTGCACTGATTTTTCTTCTTCTTCTTTTTTTTTTTTTTTTCCTTTTTGTCTTTTTTCGTGACCGACAACGGATTGCAACCCTCAGTGTCGTGCCCGCACCGGACCGGGACCGGCCACGGGATCGCAACCCTCGGTGTTGCTCCCGCACCTCGCTCAGCCAGTGAGTGGCCGGTCTGTATGTGGGATCCGAACCCTCGGCGGGAGCGCCGCTGTGCTTCCCAAGCGGCACACTGTAGCAGTGCACCACCGGGCCGGCCCCGCACTGATTTTTCTTCTGATCTGTACTATTTCTGCCCTTGTACTCATTCTTGGTTTATTGTTTTCTTCCTACCATCTTAAGATGGTAGACTACTTTGTGACCTTTCTTTGACAGTATATTTCTTTGTGATTTGTTTTTTTCCCTGCTAGCTGTGGTCTGTCATGGGTGATATTCTGTGTGAATTTGAAAGGAATATATATTCCTTTGATGTTGAGTAAATTGCTGTATACAGGACGGTTAGGTTAAGTTAGTTGATCATGTTGCTAAACTCTTTTATATTCTTGTTTACTTTTTGACTACCTCTTCGATCAAAGATTGAGAGTAGGCTATTGGAATCTTCAACTATTACTGTTGAATTATATATTTTTTCTTTCATATCTGTCAGGATTTGCTTTATATGCTTTGGAGTCTGTTAGTTGGTGCACATTTGTAGTTTTTGAAAAATCTACCTGACGTAGTGACTTTTTCATTGTGAAATTTCTCTTTCTCTGTACTTTTTTTTTTTTTTAATTCAATATGTTCTTTGATATGAATATCACCTTTCCAACTGTGGTGTGGTTACTGTTTGCATGACATGTTATTTGTTATCCCTTCACTTATAATATTTTTGTATATTGGAAAGTGGAGGGTTTCTTTTGCACAAAGCCTATAGTTGGAATCTTGGTGTTTTTTCCCAATCTGACCATCTGTCTTTTGGGGAATACTCAGTCTTTGTATTTAATATAATAAGATGATTGGATTTCCAATTGCTGCTTTGCTGTTTGTTGCTGTCAATTTCAAGTCTTTTTTTTTTTTTTTCTTTCTTTATTTATTACCTTTTTTTGTGTTAAGCAACTATTTTTGGTATACCTACTTAAATTCTTCTGGTAAAACTTTTTACTCTTTGCTATATTATTATCTTTCGTATTACTTAAATGTATAGTAAATCCAGCAATACTGTCATAGTTGCTTTAAACATTCTGTATGTTGTACACAATATTACACATTTGCAACATTTTAAATATTACCAGTACTGTTCATTTCTTCAGATGTTGATGTGAGGTACTATCTGATGTTGCCTTTCTTTATCTAAATGATTTTGTATTGGTGTTCACCTATGCTGACTGATGCTTTTGGGGACTGTCTTTATTTACTTCAGCTTTGTTTTTGAAGTACAGTTTCATTTGACATAGAATTTTTATTTGACATTTTTGAATATGTCATTCCACTGGTATCTGGCTTTCAGTTTTTTATTTTTATTTTTATTTTTCCTTTATTTATTTATTTTTTTTGTCTTTTTTCGTGCCCGGCAACAGATCGCAACCCTCAGTGTCGCGCCCGTACCGGACCGGGACCGGCCACGGGATCGCAACCCTTGGCATTGCTCCCGCACCTTGCTCAGCCAGTGAGCGGCCGGTCTGTATGTGGATCCGAACCCTCGGCGGGAGCGCCGCCACGCTCCCAAGCGGCGCACTGTAGCAGTGCGCCACCGGGCCGGCCCTGGATTTTCTCTTTAACTAAGTACCACCATTATG